GGGAGAAAACACAATAGTCAATGATAGCAGAGACTTATCATGCAAGGACAGAAAAATGAAAAGCAGATGAACAAGTGGTAACTAACTACCCAGAATGGAAGACACTAAAAATTAAGTAACTGTTGAAAGATAATAACCGTAGAGAGATAAATGAAACATGGTAAGTTCACCTACAATCAAATGTGAGAATAGAATAAAAACATCTGTCATAAACGAACAAACAAAATTTAAATGGATTTGTATATACAGAGAACAAACTGATAGTTGCCAGAGGGAAAGGAGCATTGGGGGCCTGGGTGAAAAAGATGAAGGAATTAAGAAGTGCACATTGGTAGTCATGAAATAGTCACAGGGATGTAAAGCACAGTATAAGAAATATAGTCAAGATTCCGAAAAAAAAAAAAAAAAAAAATCCTGACTTCCGGTCAATATGGCGGGTAGGTAAACTAGGTAAACGCGGTATCGCGTCCTCCCACAACCACATCAAAGTTACAACTAAACTACAAAACAACCATCATCAAAACCGCCTCAAGTCAAGCTGAATGAAGTCCTACAACTACGGAATTAAAGCAGCAGCCACATCCAGTCTGGTAGGAGGGGCGGGTGGACGGGCTGGTCCCACACCCACGTGTGGCGGATAAAAATCAGGAGGACACCTCGGCTGGGAAGGTCCTTCCTGAGGACTGAGGGGGCCCCGTCCCACACCAGGTGCCCCGCTCAGGGTTCCAGTGCCAGGAAGAGAATCCCCATAACTTCTGGCTGGAAAAACCAGCAGGAACTGAGGCTCAGGGAGGCTGAGGCGGCTGGAGCCCCAGGCAGCTCCCTAAAGGGCCGGCGCACGGACTTAGCGGACTCTCTCCCTCTAAGCTCGGAGGGGAGGCAGCTCGAGGGGCGCCAGAGACACACAGGGAAGAACTGAGCTGTTTGGCATTGGAGTGAGGGCTGGAGAGGGGGCTTTCTCTGGGACAAACGTGCTGTCTGAGGCCTTTGTTCCTTTGGTGAGCCCTTCCCTGGGGCGGCAGACAGCCGCCATATCTGGGACTCCAGCAACCTGGCTCACACTGGTAGCCCCGCCCTGCTGACTCCCTGAGACCCCGCCCCACCCAACTTTCAGGCCCACCCAAGCTGTTGCCAGTTGCATAAACATAGGATTGGCCTGTCTTGGATCCTGCTTCAGGTTTTCCTAAATTCTTTCAAACAAGCAGCATCTCGTCTCAGCTAGCCCCATACCTCTCGTTAAGTAATACACAGAAACAAACACAGGGAGGCAGCCAAAATGAGGAGACAAAGAAACAGGTCCCAAATGAAAGAACAGAACAAAACGCCAAGAAAAGAACTAAGCGAAATGAAGATAAGCAACCCAACAGATGCTGAGTTCAAAATACTGCTTATAAGGATGCTCAATGAACTCAGTGAGGGCCTGAAGAACATAAAAAAGGACCAGTCAGAAATGGATGCAGTCAGAAATGAAGGAGGCACTAACTGAAATAAAGAATAATTTACACAGATTCAATAGTAAATCCAAGAAGCAAACCATTGATTTGGAATATAAGGAAGCAAAAAACGCCCAATCAGAACAGCAAAAAAAAAAAAATCTAAAAAAATGAGGATAGTGTAAGGAGCCTCTGGGACAACTTCAAGCGTGGCAACATTCGCATCTTGGGGGTGCCGGAAGGAGAAGAGCGAGAACAAGAAATTAAAAACCTGCTTGAAACAATGGCAGAAAACTTTCCTAACTTGGTGAAGGAAAGAGACATAAAAGTCCAGGAAGCACAGACAGTCCCAAACAAGATGAACCCCAAGAGGCCCACACCAAGACACATCATCATCAAAATGCAAAAGGTTCAAGACAAAGAGAGAATCTGAAAAGCAGCAAGAGAAAGGCAGTTAGTTACCTACAAGGGAGTTCCCATAAGGTTGTCAGCTGATTTCTCAAAAGAAACTTTGCAGGCCAGAAGGGAGTGGCAAGAAATATTCAGAGTGATGAAAAGCAAGAACCTACAACCAACATTACTCTATCCTGCAAAGCTGTCATTTAGAATCAATGGCCATATAAAGAGTTTCCCAGACAAGAAAAAGTTAAAGAGTTCATCACCACCAAACCGTTATTATATGAAATAATGAAGGGTCTTTTTGAAGAAAAAGATAAAATATATGAACAAACAAAATGGCAATGAATACATATCTATTGACAATGGAATCTACAAACAAAATGAACAGGCAGAACAGAAACATTCTCATAGATACAGAGAGCATTTTGTTGGTTGCCAGATGGGAGGGGGGTTGGGGGAATGAGTGAAAAAGGTGAAGGGATTAAGAAGTACAAATTCATTGCTAGACTGACAAACCTCAAAGGGAAAGGGGTGGAGGGGTGGGAAGAAATAAACCAAAGGACTTATATGCATATATGCATAACCAATGGACAGAGACAACAGTGTGGGAAATTGTGGGAGGGGGGTGGGAGTGGGGAGGAGGGGGTCAATGGGGGAAAAATGAGGAACATCTGTAATACATTCAACAATAAAAATTAAAAAAAGAAAGAAATATAGTCAATAGTACTGTAGTAACTATGTATGGTTCCAGGTCGGTACTTGAAATAATAAGAGGGCCCTGGCCAGTTTGGCTCAGCGGTTAGAGCGTCGGCCTGCGGTCCGGAGAGACCTTAGCGGGTTCGGTTCCCGCTAAGGGCACGTACTTCGGTTGCAGTTTGTCCCCGGCCCTGGTTGGTCGTGCGGGTGGCAGCCACTCGATGTGTCCCTTCACGTCGATGTTTCTCTCTCTCTCTCCCTACCTCTCTCTCCCTCCCACTCTATCTGTACAAAAAATGGAAGAATATCCTCGGGTGAGGATAAAAAATAAAAATAAAAAATCCTCACCCGAGAAAAAAAAAAAAAAGAAATAATAAGAGGGATAAATGGTGATGGATGGAGACTTGACTTGGGGTATACAGTTGATGTGTTGTAGAATTATGCACCTGAAATCTGTATAATTTTGTTAACCAGTGTCACCCCAATAAATTCAATAAAAAGCAAAAGAAAGGTAAAGTATATGATTGCCTAACCACTATGATATATAGCTAAAACTAAAACAAAATAATATTGAATGTAAACTGTAAATGAATGAAAAATACTTTTTAATAGAAGAAAAATGTTTGTCTCCCATTTACTTTGTTCCAGAAAGCTATTTGAGCAAAACAAGGCATTTACCAATTAAAGACATGAGATCTAGGAAACGAGGCAGAGGCAAAGAAAATTCCCAAGGTGATGATGAAGCTTCACGGCTACCACTGTGAGTAGGCCTAGCAAGCAAAGTACAGACTGAATGAAGAAGATGGAGGGAGTTCCTAAAAAATGTCTTCAAGGGCAAAAATCGGAACCAATAGATAACCTAATATTAAGAAGAAATGATTGGTTTTGTTGACAAACTTGACCAAGAATTGATGATATACAGAAAACAAAGAAAAAAGTAGACAATTAAAACAAAAATTTGTACAAAAAAAGTATAATCACAGTATATCACACAGTTTAGCTACAGACAATATTTATAGGCTCATAATAACATAAACTAATGATTTACCCTGAAACTGGTGTAGCCATACAAGAAGAAGGAGAAGTGTGTACCTGCATCTGGAGGGAAAGGAGTGTTGGGAGGCTAGTGAGTGGGTTGCAGATTCTTATATTCCATGGTAGGAAGTTAATAGATAATGTCTAAAGTGAAAAATCAAAAACAACTGCATTGAAATTTCATTAAATGAGGTAAATATATAACAAACACACACACACAAAATTTGGGTGTTTTTACTACAAGTCTGTAGTATCATCTGACTTCATCAAAATATATGTATATTGCTTTCTTAAAAATAAAGTACTTTTAAAACTTAATCATCTGCTATCTCAGAAGATCAGCCAATATATAATCTTGGAGTTCAGAAGATGTCACTGATATTGACTGTAAGTCACATCAAAACCATCTTCCAAGTTTACTTCCTTGTAATGGATATCCATATAAAAAGATAGAAGGATGTAATTCAGAATAAAATCCTGAAAAAAAATTCTTCCTAGAATTCCTGAAATGGAAAGAAGTTTCATGGAATAATATACAGTGATTAAGGGAATGTCTCCAGGGTATGAACTGGCTGAGTTCAGATCCCAGCTTCACTACTTAGTAACCACATGACTAGGGTAAATTACTTAATCCCCATGTTTCAGTTCCTTCCTCTCTAAACTGGGTACCTATATAGTATTTATCAAGTAAAGTTGTTGTAATAATCAAATGATAATCCCCATTAAGAGCTTAGTACAATGTCTGATACATAATATTCAATAAATACCAGCTATTTGTACTATGCAATAGCATACCAACCAAATCAATATGATGTACCACAATTGCCAGCATATATAACTCACCCTTGCCCCTGTAAATTAATCTAAAAATTACTCACCATCCAGTATACCTATACTATAAATAAATCTATCAGATTATAAAAATAATCTCTTACTTCCAATATCACATAAACACAAATTTCAGATGAATCAAAGATTTATGCATTAAAAAATGCCAAAAAAAACACACACACACACAAAAACCCTAGCAGAAAATAGAGAATTTATAATCTCTTCATTACTTTTCTGACTCATTCTGGATATGGGCTCCCTATATTGCTAAATTAAAAGTTGAAGGAAATTACCTATTAGGTTATTCCCAGTCCTAAAAAATCTGTTTCTTCAAGATAAAGACAAGCGGTAAACCTTCTTCTCTAAAAAAAAATTAATTTAAACATGTCTTTTGACTTTGGCAAAAATTTTGGAATCACAGAGAAGCAAAAATTTAGGAGGACAGGTCACATGATTATATTTTATTCACCTAGATATTTTTTCTTCTCCCTACTATTTGGTCTGATGATTGGTCCTTTCAATAACTCTTATATTCCTACCTCTGATTCCGTGAAGTTTTAAAGATGGAATAATAACACACATTTGTAATTTATGAAAAGTTATTACCTTGGATTTGATGTTTCTCCAAGAATCTCATCTAATTTGTCAATGAAACTAATAAAATTGGACAATCCTTTCACATGTGTCCTTAAAGGATCTGATGGTGATGGTGCATACCCTTTCCCTCCAAGCTCCATTGTTCTAATAAATGATGTGGCCACCTATCAATTAAAACAAAAGATTTAGTTATGTTTAATGATTCAGTTAAAACTGCAATTTATTAAGCTGGACACATTTATATTATTCTGGTTATACAAGTGAAGCACTCTTGTGACTCACACCACACTTTGATTCCCAAGTAAATAATCAAAGAAGCAGATGCCATGCAGAATTCATGCCAGCAAAGGTTAGGGGACATATTAAGGACATAGTATGCTCACAAGAATATATCACTGACTATAAAGAATTGGTTTATGAATATATTCTTATATAGATGAACTATTGGCATTGTTTCATGGAACAAAGGAGTTTTCAGTGTAAACCATGTTGATTTATTCAAGGCTGGGCAATTAATTCAACTCTTCCAAGCCTAGCTTCTTTATATGTAAAACAAAGATTAAGACTACACAATCACTAACTGCCATCTAGTTTCATATCCTAGGATTATCTGATCATGTGTAGTTCAAAAGGCCTCACCTTTACAATGATAAAAAATACACATCCGATGGCTAGACATAAAAGCACCTCCTCCAAAAGATATTCTATAGCAGTATTTCCCAGAGTGCACCCTTAAATAAGACAAATTCTATGACATTTCAGTAATGTGAGGGGAAATCCCATGGTAAAATAACTTAGGAAACAACAGACTGAATAACAAGTTTAACTTAAACAGATTTCTTTATGGCAGGACTTTCTCAAAGATTTTGAAATACAAACATGAATTTATGTATATCCAATAAAGGTATACACTATTTCCGAACTTCTTGCCCTTGGCAACATTTATTCAACAAGCGTGTAGCACTGGCTTTTTGACTCTGACTAGTACTCTACAGAATACATGTAGGAAAGCGAACCTTTAGAGAAAGTCTCCCTTGCTCAATTTGAAGGATATGGCAAAAAAATAAAACCACTATAGATTTTCAAATACAGAGGTGGGACATAAAGTAATAATTTAAAAGTTATTTTATCATAGTTACAAGAATTCTACATCAAGGTACATGGATCCACTGTTCAAAGAGTCTTTATTTTAAAAATCTTGAAAATGGAACATATCCATACCAAAAAGATAGACATCTGTTTCTCTCGAGCAGCATGTTTCAGATCAGTGAAGGCTTCTCTTCCAAGTCCTCTATCAGGAACATTGAGAATATGAGCCAGAGCCAGGTCATTCTTTGAATTCACTAGCAGGTTTAAATATGAGTAGATAATTTTCTTTGCTAGTAACTTCACCTACACAATACAATAATATTTTCTTTATTAAAGTTGTTCTAAATCCACAATTTTTTATATGCAGTAAAAATACTTATGATCATTCAATGACAATATCTCACTCAGATCTTTGGGGAAAAGAACTGCCAAACAAACTGAAAGTTTGAGTTGGACAATTAACATATCCTTGCTCATAAAAGCAACTTGCTGCAGTAAAAAGATGAGTAAATACCTCTCTCATAATTATTGGAAAATAGCTCTTAGAAAATTATATATAAGATACACTCCAAAGTCTGCATTTCTGATGAGGCCAGAGCCTATTCCCCCACATACATCTGCAACTATACAATAGCCAATAATGAAGCCCCCTGAAGCCTAGGGAATGCGTCAACTGGCACAATTTGTCCTATGCCCCTTTCAGGGCTACATACAAGGGGTGAAATTATATGGTTAATCTTTTGGAGAATTATTAAGATACTGACTTTGATGATACCAAATAACCAAATAAGTATTAAAATGAAAAGATTCAACCAAATGCTAAGCAAATAATAGCAGATAGTTGACACTGACGTTAACTGGTCAGAGCTACAGACCATTCAAGCACAAGGTGCCTAATATTTGAGAACAGTTGCTATGGGCATCACTTCTTTCATATACTGTACTTGTCCCTCAGAGTCAAATGGTAAAACAGGGCATAAAGAGAGTTGAAGAGGTAGCAATAAAAAAATACAAATCATTAGGAAGTCTCTTAGGTAATTATTAAGGATATTTCATGTTCAAATACACCTTAAAAACACTTTTAAAGATAACACCCTTTTGAATTATTTAAATTTCATGTGAAAAACAATTCTTGAAACATGAGAGATGGTCAATTTAAAAAACCTCATTGGACAGGATAAGGTTACCTTAAATATGAACTTAAAATATAATTTAAGCAAAACTGATTAAAGATGAAGTCTAAATACCAACTCTATAAAACCTTTTTTTGATTAATTAATTTATTTTTGTTACAGATGTTTCTTTTTCCCACATTGATTCCCCCCTCACCCTCCCTCCCCGCCCTGTCCCCAGCTTTGTTGTCAATGTCCATCGGTTATGTGTACCTGCATATACGATCTATGGTTTATCTCTTCCCTCCCCGCCACCCCCTCTTCTGAGGATTGTCAGTCTGTACCCTATTTCCACGTCTCTAGGTCTACCCTGTTCCTCAGACTGTTATGTTCATTATATTCCACAAATAAGTGAGATCATGTGATATTTGTCTTTCTCCGCTTGGCTTGTTTTGCTTAGGATAATACTCTCCAGTTCCCTCCATGTTGTCTCAAAGGATAAGAGATCTTTCTTTCTCACAGCTGCATAGTACTCCGTTGTGTATATGTACCACTACTTTTTATCCATTTGTCTACTGTTGGAGCCTTGGGCTGTTTCCAGATCTTAGCTATTGTAAACAGTGCTGCTATGAACATGGGGGTACATATATTCTTTCTGATTGGTGTTTCAGGCTTCTTAGGGTATATTCCTAGAAGTGGGATCACTGGGTCAAATGGAAGTTCAATTTTTAATTTTTTGAGGTAACACCATATTGTTTTCCATAGTGGCTGCACCAGTCTGCATTCCCCCAGCAGTGTACTAGAGTCCCCTTTTCTTCACACCCTTGCCAACTTTTTTTCTTACTAGCATTTATTACCTTTGCAGAGCGGTTCCCTCATTTCCCAATATAAAGTAGCCAGCCATTCACATACTCCCGTATCACCCTATTATAACTCTGCATATCCGTCCATTACATAATTCTCTGCATAGATTTTAATACTTTCTAATATTGTTTATTTTCTTAATATTTCCACTACTTTATGAGTTCCATGAGAGCAAATTATGGATCCTTTGGGTATAAAAGAGATTGGCGTTATATTAGGAAATCAATCCATTTTTGTTAATAGATTCTCAATCAATTTTTGTTCAATGATGAATGAAAGAAAAATTAATAAATGAATTTGGCCCTTTTAGATCTTTACAAATTGAAACTATGAATAAAAACTTACTTGGGATCAAATAAGTGCTCATATGCTTTCACTGCATTGCTTTAAAAAGAAAAGTACTTTGAGGTATAATTGAATTAAGATAATCTTTAAAATCTGTCCTCAAGTTTTATAGACTAATATATAACATAGTTTTCTGTTTATATTTCAAAGTGCCTTTTATCTTAACTTTCACAGAAAATCACAATTCTTCATGTGAATCTATAATATAAAAATTTCCATTTTAACTTCACAGTGCAATAGTATGTCTAAAACATCTCTCTTCTTTATTCCTTTGACATTGGGAAGAGTAACACAATTTGACAAAAATCAAGGCAGAAAAACAGTGACATTCACACTGTAATAAGAAACTTGTTTACTTTTTCTACATTTAATTCATAAAACTACATTTAGTTTCACTGTGCTTCTACTGTCCCAAAAGAACAAAGATTGATCAGTGGGTATATATCTGATCCTTACTGGGTCCAAAACCAGATCTTAAACTGCCACATCTACAACATGCTCTTTAAGGGTGGCAAATTTAGTCCTTCTGATGCTGGGCAAACATCAGGGAAAAACATCTTGGAGTCCTCACAGTTAGAGTGTTTCTTTTAACTCATGGCTGTAATTAGAAATCTGTCCCTATCATTATGGTCAGATAACATGGCAGTTATGGTTTCCCTGCTCTTGTATTTGCAAGTAGGTTTTAAAGAGGCTCTCTGGAAAAGTATTCCACATAAATACAGTTATGATGTCCAGAAGCAAGGACCTAAATTGAAAAAATCCACAAGATTGAAGCTTTTACCAAAATACCGAAAATAAAGATACTGTTCTGTTTATTTAATAAACTGATTCTATCCATACCACAAAGTATTCGCAATGTTTGTCTAGAAGTTGAACAATTTTAAGCTTTCTGAAAATTCCAAACTTCTTTTCCTATCCCTTAATTATTACTGAAATGCAGATATTGAATCTCGATTTGAAGTCAGTTTTTCTAAATTAAGAAGATTAACAATTTATACAGGTATATTTTTACTTTCTTTGCCAACACATAAATTACATATAATGACTAAAAGAAAGTTGGACTAAAACTAATATACTCGTAAAATATTTCTTTTAGGGCCTTTATTGGATTTTTCCCTTCATTACTTCAGAATTTCTACAGCAATAGGTTAGTACCTTAAGAAAAACAAAATGAAGCAAAATAAAAGAGGGGAACAAAAACGTTGTTTCTCAAATTCATTCAAATCACCTATTTGAGGACTCTTGTATGGCATTAGTAAGCACATTTGGTGGTAAAAATAGAGCTTTGCAAGACTGGAGCCCAAAATGTTACTTTGGAATTTTAAAAGAAATATATTGCCTTCCAAAAATACTTTGTAAAAACAAAAAAAAATTAGAAGTCTGCAAGGAACAGAAAAATGGCTGAGAGGATGGCTGCTACTTTAATAGCCCTCATAAAATCTAATCCATCAGCTAACTAGTAGATAAAATTCTCCTGGAAAATACAACCCAAGAAGGCAAAATGTAAAAAGTAGAGGCTTAACACAGTGAAACTATCATTGCTTTTTAAATGAGAAAACTATATGCTTATAACAAAGACCCATTGGTTTCTATAAACTACAGTCCTTTTTCACGGGTATACCTTTAAGATAATGTTTTATATCTGTAAGCCAAAACTCTAAAAGCTTAGGTCATTTTACATGTACAAATTAGTTCATTCCTCTTAATTAAAAGGCACAATAACAATTATTGTTTCCTCCCAGCAGAGCCTGTAAGATAGATCAAAAAGAACAGATCTGTAACCGATCTACTCTCCTGATGTATGAATGTACTTGGTGAGTACCATGGAGAAAAGACCAGGTAATTTAGTAAGCACGTTGTCAAGATATAGGGCAGGAGAAAAAAAACAAGCAGAATATAAGTGAAACATTCATTTCAAGCAAGAGAAAATAGTTACAAATCACTAAAAGGAATCACAAATCTTAGCAGAAAGCATTCAAAGGTGGACTTGGAATATTTTCTTGGACCAAAAAGGGGAAAATGCTCAAAAGTTTAAAAGGGCATGTAAAAAAGATACAGAAGGTAGCTTGAAGGGGATCCCTCCATTTTAGCATCAAAGGTTAATGATTGTAATTAATTTCAAAACTCTAAATAAATAAAATTCCATGAGTCTTTACCAATATATACACCTACATAAAAAAGGAGAAAGATACATTTAAAAAAAATATATATATACACATATATATATAAAATTTGCCTCTGATATTATACATAACTATTACACCAACTCCTAAACTGGTAATTAAAGAGAAAGAATTAAGTAATGACTCTGCCATTTGTAGGGAATTGTACTTCATCCCAGTTGATAGGACAAAGCTCTTGTTTATTGAGAAATGGCGTCCTGGTCAGTATGATAAGTGGTTAGAGCATCAGCCTGTGGACCAGAGAGTCTTGGGTTTGGTTCGCGCTCAGGGCATGTACCTCAGTTGCAGTTTGTCCCCGGCCCTGGTTGGGATCATGTGGTGACCACTCATTGTATCTCTCTCACATTGATATTTCTCTCTCTCTCTCTTCCTGCCTCTCCTTCCTGCTCTATCTGAAGATAAATGCAAAAATGTCCTCAGGTGAGGACTAAAAAAAAAGAGAGAAATGGCAGCTAAACCCTGGCCAGAGTGGTCAGTGGTTAGAGCGTTGGCCTTCACACTGAAGGGTCTCAGTTCCATTCCCAGTCAAGGGCATGTACCTGGGTTGCAGGTTCCATCCCAGCCCCAATACAGGCATCTGCGGAGGCAACCAATCGACGTGTCTCTTTCATTCTTTCATTCACATGGATGTTTCTCTTTTTCTCTCTCCCTCTCCCCCTCCCTCCTCACTTCCCTCCCTCCCTTTCACTCTCTCTAAAAATCAATGGAAAAAAATATCCTCAGGTGAGGATTAAGCAAAAAAGAGAAAAGAATGACAGCTAATTCATGTAAAGACATAATAGAATTGGAATTCGCCATTCTACAAACTCTAAAGAAATAATTGATTTAGACAAGCATGATCCATGCATGCTTAAAACCATTTGGTAAAAGGTTGGGAAAACAGGATATTACACATTGTTAAAATATCATTCACAGATCTTTGCTGATAGCAAAGGAAAAACCACTTCTTTATACTGGGGAGATTAGACAATTCAAGACAACTTGGGTTTGAGTCTCCTGATATGATACAAAATGAAATACTCACCATCAGTTATGAAGTATTTGTTAAGAAATGTTAAACCTCAATCTAAGAAAGCTAGTAGATGTAACTCCCAATTTATCGGAAATAGAGAAACAAATTAAATAATACCAGTAAGAATTAATCAGATAAATAAGAAGTTTAAAAAAAAAAAGACTGAAGGGACTTCTTCTAGATTAAGAATCTAAAGAAACATAAAACCCATTTTGGGCACAAATGGAGAAATGTGAACAGGGAAGATAGCAAATGATATCAGAGAATACTTAAATTTTCTTATTAATGATATTGTGGTTATGCCCTTATTTTCAGGAAATGATATGCTGAAGACATTGAGGGATTGTCATAACAACAACTTAACTTTCATACAGGACAGAGAAAATATTGGTTGCAAAATAAAGCAAATTATTAAGTCTAGGAAGTAGGTGTACAGGTTATCTATTTGAGGGCAGTGATAAAATATATTTTTAAAAGTGTCATCTGTCTAGCATGGGACTTATGAGAGAATCTATTTAGCAATGATTCCTGAAAAATGAAGAAGGTGATTCATCAAATGTGTTAACTGACTGGAGCAGCTGGATTTGGAAATAGGCACATTCTAAACCTTTTATAGCTCATATTTTTTAGATATATTGAATGTAATTTTACTGCATTTTCCAATACTCTTAAACTTTTGTCTTGACAATGGTGATTTTATTAGCCATAGAAACTTTCCTAAACGTAACTTTCATAGTGAAGGGTTACTCTATTTAATTCGTCACCTAACTTTACCAGTGGAAGGTAAATTATGAGACCAAAAGTACCTGGTACTACTTTTCTGTGGTGTGTTTGCACAACTAACCAGTATCAAAACTCATGATGCAACTGTTAGTCTACCGCAAAGGGTACAGAACAGGTTTTCCAACTGTACATTTGCTTCACAAGAAGCAACCATATAAAACAGTAACTGTGAAGTTTACCAAATAGTCAGCTCTCTGTATCCCCAGGTTCCATATCTGCAGATTCAACTGCAGACTAAAAGTATTCTATATTTAAAACAAGTTATGTTGTTGCTGACGCGTACTATGGAGTTAGGCCCATGATGACTGCATCTGTACTGAATATATATGGATATTTTGTCTTGTCATTGTTCCCTAAACAATACAGTATAAAAATTATTTACATAGCATTTACATTATTTTATAGATTAAAAGTAATCTAGAGATGATTTGAAGTATACAGGAGGATGCATGTAGATTATTTGCAAATACTACATACATTATTTTATGTAAGGGACTTAAGCATCCGTGAATTTTGGTATCCAAAGCAGGACCTGGAACCAGTCCTCCAGTTACCAAGGGACACTATGTCAAGATTCAAAGAACTCTGGCAATCTGGACCTTCAACCACTTTTCTGGTACTTGGAGTGATACCTATTTTTGCACAGTGCCTGTTAACCTCGGCCCAAAACCATGAAGTAACTGATTGTTATACTCTTGCCAGTCTCCAGTGTATTACTCATTGCACACAGTTTTATTCAAACAAATTAAAAACCTTTAGAAATTAAAAAAAATAGTAACAGTACGTACAATCAAATTCATAGTGATATGAAGGGGATCAGATCCTGCTTTAACTTACTCACAACTTATCAGTACCTTTTCATTATCCTGGTTGTATTTACTCATTGGTGATGTCGGTACATAAAGATCAGATTCATCATCTACTGCAGACTGTCTGCCAGACAGAAAATCCCGTAGTTGACTCTGCAGGAAATACAGGGCATTACTAATAAAATGCTATGCCAACTATAAAAAATATCTCACACCTGGCTCTACTCAGTGTCACTGATGTTCCAGTATACAGTGTATTGCCTGACCTTTGTTGGCAATCAACAATATGTAGACATGTAATTAAACTTCCTAAAAAAATGCTTCAAAAAAAATAATTTCCAGTGGCACCTGTACTCATAGAGTTTTACAAATATACAGTTAAAAGATGACCTCAGAAACTTAATCTCATCTTTTTTATGGAAGAAGAAAATTAAAAAGAAAGAAAAGTCTCGCCTAAGTCCCACAATAAATGCTTCACTTTGGAATATACGTAAGTAAATCTAGTGTTCTAACCAGCACAATATTGAAACAAAATAGTTTCCAAGAAAATTTATAAAGAGACATTTGCTTTCACCCTACCACACTACTCAATGTCTCCATGTTATTTCACTATTCTAAAGAATCTAAAATTATACAGGTGTACACACACACACACACTGTTCGTGATGAGTAAATCCAACAAGATTGCAAATCACTTTTCCTCTTACATATTACAAAGTTAAAACTAAAATAACTTACCAATACATACTTTTTAAAAAGTAATAGCATTTGCCATAATTCTATTGATATCACGAGCTAGTACTCATAAAGAGTTCATCGTAAAGAAAAACAACAACTGGAAAGCCTAGGATTTTGTTGTTCATAACATATACAATTTTTCAACCTCAAAATTTAAGATAATTAAAAAATAATTTATGATTTAACAAATTTTGAATAGAGATAGTCTTCACACAAGTGGCTCTGATGTTTTAAGAAGAGATATTGAAAGCAAGGACTTATTTTTCTAGAAACAAAATGTTATTTTTTTAAATGGGAGAATATTACCTTTGGTTAAAAACTGTTTTCATATTTAACTACATGTAAAGTACATAATAAGGTCTCAAAATAATGGTCCAAACTGAGGTCCCAAAGACCCATTCAAGGGATTCTGGAAGTCCTCCCTTTTCCAATTTATGTCTCAACATTAATCTGAATTTTCTTGATATACTTGACTCAAAATGACATATCAAACAGAAGCAGATATAAGAATATAGCTATTCCTATCACACATGACATTAAAGATATTTGTAAAAATGTAAAACAATGTCACTACTCTCACAATTTTTTTATTTCTGAAAAAGTTATTCTTCATAAATATTTATATGAACAATAGGTTTATTATCAATATTTTTACTAACTTACTACTTTCAACATATCTCAATTTTAATTTTTAACATGGCAAATATCAATAAATATAACCCACATAAACAAAACTGCCTTGTAGTTCTAAGTAATTTTTTTTTTTTTTTTTGGTACGTGCCCCGAGCGGGAACTGAACCCGGGACTCTCTGGTCCGCAGGCCAATCCTCCAACCACTGAGCCAAACTGACCAGGGCATAAATAATTTTTTAAAGAGTGCTAAAGTGTTCCTAGACTTAACAGTTTGACAAGAACTCAATAACATAGCATAAAGCTTTCTGAGGTAACCATAGAAATCACAATATATTTGCTGTGACACACTATTCATTTTACTGACTTTTACCTTAACTGATTGGATAAGTTGCTACTCATTCTATTTTTATCCTATTCACTTAGAAAATATACTATATTTTTCCATTTCATTAATGGTTACCTTCACTTTCTCTTTACTCAAATCAGACCCATATTTCACTATTTCTGTTTTAAAGTGATTAATACCTGCTTCTTAACCGCAACTACAATGTTTAGCAGCTTTAATTCTAAACTAATACCAGAATCTCCCTTAGGGTGAGCCTTCCACTTCAGCACTCATAAGTCCAGTCTACCCATATCACTTTAATGACACAACACACTCCAAGTTTTACTATTTGACTACCACCTTCCCCCTAGATAGATATCTGTTTCAGTTCATCTGTTTAGTTATTATGGCCTTTTGAAAGGTAAATTCTTCACAAGGTATGAAGATGACATTCTTCATATTTTTGCACATCCTCACAAATCCCCTCTTTAGCTTGACTAATAAATGATACATTGATTGAGGATAAAATTCTTAGGTCACTGTCCTCTTCTTTTAGGACAGGACATTTAGTTTTTTGCTCTTTATAAAATTGCTCGTTCTTTCTGCCAGGAAACTTATCTTGATCCTTAAAAGTTCAGAAAGTTTACCAGATTATGCCTAGGTATGTCTTTTCTCATCATTACAGCCTGAAACTTCATAAGCATTCTTAATCAGCAGGCTTGGGGAAATACTTGTCATAATAAATGTAGTTATAATAAATATGTTATTTATTTAATCTGGTGCATTGTTCCTTTTTCTCATTCTGGGACTCTCCTGTCGTTTGCATGTTAAATCCTCTAAATCTAAACTCCAAGTTTCTTAACATTTCCCTCATGACTTTTTATTTATTTATTTATTTATTATTATTTTTTTTTTTTTATCCTCACCCGAGGACATTTTTTCTATTTTTTGTTCAGATAGAGTGTGGGAGGGAGAGAGAGAGAGAGAAACATCGACGTGAAAGGGACACATCGAGTGGTTGCCACCCACACGACCCAACCAGGGCCGGGGACAAACTGCAACCGAGGTACGTGCCCTTAGCGGGAACCGAACCCGGGTCCCTCAGGACCGCAGGCCGACGCTCTAACCGCTGAGCCAAACCGGCCAGGGCTCCCTCATGACTTTTTAAAAAATATTTTTTATTCATTGATTTGAGAGAGAGAGGAAAGAAGAGGGGGAGAGATAGAAACATCAATGAAAGAGAACATCGACTGGCCACCTCCTACATGCCCCCCACAAGAGATCAGGCCAAAACCTGGGCACATGGCCTGACAGGGAATTGAACCAGCGACCTCTTGGTGCATGGGTCAACGATCAACCACTGAGCCACACTGGCTGGGCTCCTCATGACTTATTTATATATTTTCCCCTGTGCTTTAAATATGTATTGTACTTGACTTTCAAGATACTAATTTGGCTCTGAACTTACCTGTTGCATTGGGAAATTTTTTCTTTCTTCTTTTTAACATCTAGAGAGCCTTACATTTAGGTGTACCCTTGAATTTCCTCGAGTATTTGTCACTTGTTGTCATTCCCCTCGGGCAGCTCTCTTTTGTTGGGCATGTGTGTGCTCAGCTGACTCATCTTTCTCTGGCTGCTGAAACTCCTTAAGTGGCTGTTGCTTTTTTTCATTGGCTCTTTGGGGCTCAGCTCTGACTGTTGAGGTATCTTACGTGTATGACAGTTCTACAAGTAATGCAAGTTGAAATGCTCTCTCCTTCTTATTGAGCAGCAATGGAGAAATAAACAGGCTGCTGGTCACCTGCTAGGCCAAGGAAAAGTCTTCTTGTGGTCTCTCACCACACCAGTAGTAAGCCCATCCACTCAGCTACATGTTCGCTTCTAAGGGCATTTGTTGACCTACCCCAGAGTCTCCAGATCTCTGACAGCTGCTGAACTCTTCTTAGATCCACCATTTCAGCCCAGCTCTGGCCCTGGCCTGTGTGGCTCAGTTGGTTGAGTGTTGTCCTGTGCACCAGGAGGTCACTGGTTTGATTTCTGGTCAGGGAACATGCTTGGGTTTTGGGCTCGATCGCCAGTAGGGGACGTGCAGGAGGCAGCCCATCGATGTTTCTCTCTTTCTCTTTCTCTCTCTCCCTCTCCCTTCCTATCTCTCTCTAAAATCAATAAAAATGTGTTTTAAAATGGAAAAGAAAAGAAAGCAAGCTCTGCCAAGGCCTTACATGCTCCCAGATGCCCATGGACCCTGACTCCATGTTCCTCAAGAGGAATTATAAAATAAGGAAATAAAGGAGAAAGGGGCATTGTTCAAATTATCATGTTCCCAGAGCTTCCCTATTTTACCTTTATCTTAATTCCTCATAACTCTTTCTCCCCCTTCCTCTCTCTCTCTGATATCAATCAATAAAAAATAAATAAATAAAAAGAAATCACACATTCAGGACTGATTTCTTTGTTACAATTTTTCTTATCTAATAAGCTATTCTTACATTTAAACCAAATCATAACAACACAAGTTCAACAAAATTTACCACCAATACATTTCTTTCAAGCAATGACTAGTTTTCAGGTAGCTAAATTTTCCATTCTTAACATGAACCAAAAAGCAAAAGCATTATCCAGTTACTATAAATGCTAAAACCAGAGTTAGAAATAAATCTGGTCCAATTTTTCTTCAGTTAAGATATAATTGTTTTAAAAAGTACTTACAGGGGATATGTTGGCATTCTCTTCACAATTAGAAGTCAAAACACTACATTTTTTATAAACATCAATCAGATCTAACATATTACTATTCTTTAAGAAATTATCATAAGTCTTCCTAATATCCTCATAATGGTCAATCACTTCCACATTTTCAACTGGCAAGTTCAATTTCTCATGTAGTAAGTGTTTCCAGGTCAATAACACATCGCTGAGAGAGACTGTAAATTCTCCACTGTGCTGAAAAAGATAATTCCAAAAACAAAAAGATGAAGTTGACTGCCAGAACATTAAGGAACTTATCATTGAGATGTGAAGTATAAATTCAATTTTGTATTATATTCTTGCAATTTTGAAGAGAACAATCCAAATTGACCTGTGAAATAATTTTAAAACCAGACATTAAAAAAATAATTTTGATGATTTTATAAAATAGAAACTATGGCAAGTTCACACGTAACAAAATCAGCAAATACAAAGACATTGTCTACCACCTGAACTTCACTAAATTTCTACCCAAAGTGGGGTGATAGGTGGGCAATGAGCTGTACTTAAATACTATTGATTGGGGAAACATTCGATTCTATTAATATTTAGTTCCTATTAGTTCTTTTAGCTAATGTATTTTTAATCTCTTATTTAAAAACTGTCAATGTCATAGTGAATTCCCACATACCACACACTAAAATTAAAATTAAAAGCAAAATATCAGTGCTAAAACCTTGGGTCAAAGAAGAATTTTTATTCTTCCCTCAGGGACACATTAGGCCATAGGCAAACGAGTGCCAAAAAGTCAGGTTTCTTACTATAAGTTGTTAGATGTTAATCAAGCAAAATTGTTCAAAATAGAACATTTTGAAGGGTTTTTTAAAAGATTGATTGCATTCTGCTCTCACTTTATATTCCAAATGTTAATAATGGTGTCCTCCACAAAATGCCAACTCCAATTCAGTAAAATATTCTAACTACTCTTTTTCAACGCTTCGTAAATATTTTAAAGTATCCCTATGTGGTTCTGTGAATTGTAACTATGATGCTCTCTTCTACAGTTAAGCTCCATTAATATATTAGTAGTTTCTGCTAACACCTAGATTTTTCCATTAATTGTATTTAAAGATGGGTGGATATTTAAATAGAATTATAATTCACTGGAACTAAGTTGTAACGTCATATTTCATCAATGAAGAATAACAGAAAGAAATCAAACAAAACCATATAATGTAGTACTATTTCTACATATCTGACTCTTTCAAGTCCAAATCGTTATATCTTTTATAAAAATCAGTCACATGTTCTAGTTACTATGCAAATTTAAGACAAAGTGTACACCTGCTTTAAAATAATTAACTCTTTACTTACCCATTTGAAAGCAACTAAGAAAATTATCCTTGTTGTCCTTAGAGTAGGGACCTATTACATCATAGTTATAAAAATTAGTTATGTTTCATAAAACTAGTTCAATGAACAAACAAAAAAGTCATTAACTCTCAAACCTTAGATCCATAATCCAAACACAAGGCAATTTGTAATTTCTGAGCACTAAATCAAAAATTGTACTCTACTCCCCAATCCCACAAAGGTCTTCTTTGGGAGAAATGTCTGTTCAGGCCCTCTGCCCATTTTTTAATTGGCTTGTTTGTTTGGTGTTGAATTTATGAGTTCTTTATATATTTTGGATATTAAACCTTTGTCAGAGCTATTATTTGAAAATATCATCTCCCATTTGATCAGTTGTCTCTTTGTCTTGTCAGTTTTTTGCTGTGCAGAAGCTTTTTAGTTTGATATAGTTCCATTCATTTATTTTTGCCTTTACTTCCCTTGCCTTTGACCAAGTTCATAAAATATTCTCTACAACCAAGATCCATAAATTTAATACCTATGCTTTCTTCTGTGTAATTTATTGTTTCAGATCTTATATTTAGGTCTTTAATCCATTTTGAGTTCATCTGTGTACATGGGACAGCCAACAGATATATGAAAAGATGTTCAACCTCACTAGCAACTAGGAAAATGCAAATCAAAACTACAATGAGATACCACCTCACACCTGTTAAAATGGCTATTTTTGACAAGACAAGTAGTAACAAGTGTTGGAAAGGTTGTGGAGAAAAAGGAACCCTCATTCACTGTTGGTGGGAATGTAAACTGGTACAACCACTATGAAAAATAGTCTGGTGATTCCTGAAAAAATTAAGGGTACAGCTACCATATGACCCAGCAATCCCTCTCCTGGGTATATACCCAGAAAACTCAAAAATATGTATTCATAAATATATGCATCCCTTATGCTCACTGCAGCATTATTCACAGTGTAGTCAAGACATTGGGACAACCAAAGTGCCCTTCGATAGAGGATTAGACAAAGAAGAGGTGGTACATATACACAATGGAATACTACTCAGTCATAAGAAAAGACGAAATATTGCTATTTAAGACAACATAGATAGACCTTGAGAATATTATGCTAAGCGAAATAAGTCAGGCAAAAAAAGCTAAGAACCATATGATTTCACCCATCTGTGGCATATAAATGGAAACGTGTGGACAGAAACAGTATGTGGTGGTTGCCAGAAGAAAGGGGACTGGGTGACAAGGAGAGAAGGAGAGAAGGAGGCCTGATATAGATGATTTGACTTTGAGTGGTGGGCACACAGTGCAAGAAACAGATCCTGTAACAGAAACCCACACCCGAAACCTATATAATCCTATTAACTAATGTTCACTCCGATAAATTTAATTTAAAAAAAAAGAATTCTATGCAGCCATAGAAAATTAAATATTTTTTTAAATCCCACAAAGGTTACATACCATAAAAATCTACAAATGGTATTTAAGTTAAATAAATCCAGTTATTTAGAATTCAAAACTAAATTGTTTTATCTTAAAAATTCTTCAAACTATTTTGGTATAACATCCTTCATGGTAAAAGTAAATTAAGATTTTTGTTTAATGTAAATGTATCATTTATTCTCATTCTGTTGACTGTAACTAGTTAAAGTAAAACCATGCAAGCTCTTGATATTGTGAGAAAAGGCTCTGACTAGATTAACAGTGTTTATACTGAGACTGTAAAAACATTTTAAATCCAAATAAAATTGCACTCCAGATATCACATTTCATGATCAGGTGCCCACCATGAGAGCATATTCTATTTTTCAAACCAGTAACAACTGATTGAGAGAGAGACTGTGGTCAAATCAGAAAATGTTTTGCTAGGAAAACATGCCAGCTGGCTGATATCTGAAGGAAGTTCAAAATGTTCAATGCTTTCATTCTGTGATGGACATAAGAAGTATTGTATTTCATAAGAATAAAATGAGAAAAAGCAAGAATTACACTTTTTCAGAGCACTTGTACTTTGTATATTTTATAAAAGTTATTTTTATAATTATTCAAAAATTTAAATAAACTACTAACTAACTGGAGTTTTTATTATTATCAAAAGAGAAAAGCTAGCAGGTCTACTTAAGAGTATGGGCTGTGTGAACTTGGGTAAGATACCGAATTCTCTTTGAGCCAGTTTCCTTGGTTATAAAATGAGATTGTACAGATTAAATAACACCTTATAAATGGTAGCTAATCAAAAATGTCAGTTACCTTTCTCTTCTTATACAAAGTGAAATAACAGTTTGTTTGCTGGGGGGAGGAGTGGCATATAAATATAATTCAATTTTAAAATCTGTTTCTTCTTATGTCTCTGTTAGGTCATTTTCAAATCTGACAGTCAACCACTGGTGCTATAATTGCTTTCCATAAAATTAATATCTTTGTCTGCTTCATCCAGTAGAACATTTGTAATGTTCTGTAGGCCTTTTAAGGTAAAAAAAACAAACAAACAAAAAAAACAGCCTTTATAATGTAATTGTAAGACAGAGTCAAACTATGAAGCCAATTCCAAAGGCAGAAAAGGCTAAAACATGATTTGTAACCTAATAAAGTTATATATACTTGCCATATAATGAAGTCAGTGGTGAATGAATCTATAACAGGTTAAATCTTTAGCAGCATAAAACTGCTAGAGAAGTACTACATGATTTAAGCTAAAAAAACTCTTCCTCCTCTGAAAACATGACAAAAACCTAAAACTCAAAGATTATTTTAACTTACCTTTCTCTTTTTCCCCAACTAAAGCAGTTAAGAAAATAAACGTACCAATAGACAGATTAATAATTCTACTAGGTATTCAAAATTTTTACTATGGTCAAATTCAGATAGAAGGACTATACTTTAAGGACTGGTATTCTCAAACTTTAAAGATTTAAAATTTTAAATAGATCGCAAACACACGATGAAAAGTGTAAGTGAAGAATATACACAACCAACTCCACCCTTTCATTACTGTATGTTACTTATGAATGTACCTGCAGGCATGTGTATGTTGAACGCTGAGTGACCTGGAAGTCTGAGCACAGTTGGGAATGCCTAAGCTAAATCTGTACATAGAGGGTTAAAGAAAAACTGACTTCCAACCCACCATCTGCACTGCACACGTATGCACACCTACACAAACTGAAAAGCTCAGCTGCAATTCACCACTCCCCCTTTTCCCACCCAGAGTCTGAACTTTCACAGTGAATAAAGTAGAAAATTAACAAGTAGGAAGAAACCCTGAGTGGATGCTACACAGACAAGTCCAGAAGAAAAGCTGACTTGAGCTGAAAATTTTAATATGTCAAAAGTTTCACAATTAGAACGAAGATTTTTTTAGGCTACATTCTACTTAGCTTGTTGATATATTTATTTTTCAATTATTTAGACACAAACAAACAAATAATTGGAGGTGATTTGAACATGCTCTGTTTGATTCCAGAACAACAGCCCTCAGTCACTAAATGGTGATTCTTAATAATGCCTCAATTTCTCTCTCTCCTTATTTCCCAGTGTATGGTCACCAAGGATGAACCTTCAGCTCGCCCATTCCATGTACACAATGCCCTCAGAATCTATTATCTATCTTAATACCATTTCTTCAGATTATAAAGAAGGACAGTTTTTTTTTAATGCTCAAACGGTAACATTGGTAAGACTCAGATATGGATTGCAATGGGGAGCAAAAGAGACTCTAAGATGACCCTTAGGTGTCTAGTTTCAGTGACTGAGTGAACAATAAGACATACCATGGAGACTATGAATACGAACAGTAAAGTAAGTTGAGGGAGCAAACAATGTCTTCTCCTTTTAAAAACTGATGTGGAGACGGTAATGTGACATCAAGGTAAAATGTCCAATTAGTACTTGATCATACCAAAGCAAGACTTAATAGAGAGATCTGGCATATGAATACTGCTGAAACAATATACGAGAAGTATATCCAGTGAAAGGGGGTAAAATTGAGCACATTGAACAATATCAACAAAGTATAAAACAAAGAGTATCTAAAATACATGTAGATCCCTGGCTGGTCTAGCTCAGCGGATAGAGCGTCAGCCCACAGACCAAAGAGTCATGGGTTAGATTCTGGTCAAGGGCATGTACCTCGGTTGCCATTTGGTCCCTAGCCCTGGACCAGGTCCTGAGGTAGGCAACCAGTTGGTGTGGCTCTCTCACATCAATGTTTCTCTCCGTCTCTCTCTCTTCTCTCTCTCTCTCTCTCTCTCTCTCTCTCTGTCACTTTCTTTCTCTCCCTCCCACTCTGTCTGAAGATAAATGGAAAAATATCCTGGTGTGAGGATTTTTTTAAAAAAAAAATAAAATACATATAGAACTCTTTCAAATAGTAAGAAAAAGACAACTCAACAGCAAAATAAGCAAAGGATATAAACAGACAGTTTAAAAAGAGGACACCTAAAGGGTCAAATAAGCATTTTAAAAGATATTTAAATGGCCCAGCTGGTGTGGCTCAGTGGTTGAGCTTCGACCTATGTACCATGAGGTCACCAGTTCGATTCAGTCAGGGCTCATACCCAGGTTGTGGGCCCATGCAGGAGGCGGTCAATGTTCTCTCTCATTGATGTTTCTATCTCTCTCTCCTTCTCCCTTCCTCTCTCTAAAAATCAATAAAGAAAAAAACTTTTTTTAAAGATGTTTAAATGCTCTAGTTACTAGAAAAATTAAAATGAAGTACCACTTTTTCTCTTTTCTAATGAAGTCTGACAACATCTAATATGGAGAGAGATAAGGAAATGGTACTCTCCTATGCTGTTGACATAAATGTAAATTCTAGCAGCCAAGTTGAAGAGCAGTATGGTAGTATCAAGTCATATTACAAATGTATTTGTCATGTGACCTGCTGGGCATGGGGCCTAGAGAGCCTCTTGTTCAGTGCACAGACATCTCATTTCAGTGCAGAAATGCTTGTAATACCAAAAACTTCAAACACCCAAAGGTCCAAATATGAATAAAATATATCAGTCATATAAAGGTGACTAAAAAAATGAATGAATTAGATAAACTTTTCTATCAGTACCTGA